TCCCTACATCTCTGCAGTGTTAGTCAGAATCCCACATAAAATCAGGGACTGGGAAGGAGAGAGCAAAACAGAAATACCCCTCTGCCCTTTCATTCTGGGGAAGGAGGAGTGCAGAAATGCTGAGGAGAAGCTGAAAGGAGCAGGTCATACAGCTGCCTATAAGGCTCTGTGAGAAGGCAGAGAGAAGTACCTTTGCTACTCTGATCCAAAGATGGGTGGGAACAAGAAAGGAGCTGCTGCCCAGAGGCCAGATTTAGTCCCAAACCATCATTTTAAAAATTGCCTGCGTTCCATTTCAGTCCCCTCATGAAAGATATTAAATCCTGTGGAGAGTGTGCACTGAAGTGCAACCAAGATGATAGTTTGTTTATGAGGAATAGCTAAAAAGGGTGATCCTTCTCGCACTGAGATAAAGAAAATGCTGAGATGCCCTGAAAGAAATTATTTTAGAAGAGGGGTGGAAATAATAAAATCCAATAAGCTCTTTTTAACTGAAAGGGAGGCTAAAATGCTTGTTAGAGTACATATAAATGCATTCACAGTTGCTTCCCTTTTGAAGAAGGAATAAAGAAATATATGAAGCTCTATTTATATTTTACAGTATTTCCCAGAGGTGCAAGATTATTGAACAAACAGTGTTATTTACTAGATCTAGTCTTCAGAGATGCCCACAAAGGATTCCTTTTATATCTCCTGATCTGTGGTTTTAAGAGAATAAATCTTTAATAGCATAGCGTGCTAACTATTAGTTGGCACAGAAAGGCTAATCATTCTCATTAGTTAGAAGTTGTTTGAATGAAACAGAATGTGGTATGATGGAGCAAAACAAAGCATCATATCTCAATATGGAAGGCAAAAAGTAATAATTATGTTTTGTCTTGGTGTGAAACTGCACACCTGCAAACAGAAGGGTAATGATACGAGTTTCCGTCCTTCTGCACAGCTCGGTAGGAAAGCAGGGAAGTGGGTAGCAACACACCATCCCTTGCAGCTGGGCCAGCGCCAAGGTGCCATCCCTCAAAATGGCACTTGGGTATCATTTTCTCCTTGTAGCCAGGGAAACCGGAGGATCAGCTTATACATCTCTCCCAGTGCCGTGGCTGCATAGCTGTTGTCGACAAACTCGCAGGAAAGCCCCTGGAGTCGGAGAGAGCGGCTGGCAGGTTGGCATCACGTGCTGTAAGCCACCTCTCAGAGGGATCCCTGGTGTGTACAGTGGTCCAAGATCATTCTCAGAGAAATGTAAATGCAGCCATTGCAGCATCACGCTCCTGTTAGTTACACAGGCTGCTAGCTTAGCCTGTAAAGAACTTTTGCAGCTGAAAGCAAGAGTAAGTACTTCTCAGGTCAGATCAGGTGAATTAGGCCGTGGATCAGCAATATTTCATTGTTTATGAAGCACAGGATTGCAGTTTGCTAATTTTACACAGGTAATGGTAGTGATTTTACTAGGAATTTGTTTGTACAGTATCAACAGGAGGAGAAAAACTTCTGGTCAGATTTTCCTGGAAGATAGTCTCAGCTGATCTGTAATATTTTTGATGCCATACAGAAGTAAAGGAGACCTCTTCTACAATGTAAAGTTGTATATTAGATCATATATTTGGTTACACTAAGTCTGGACTTCTTTACAAGATTTAGTCATTTATGTTTTAAACCAGCACTTGATCACCTTTCTTTTTGTTGTAAATAATTAACCATAAAGTATTTGACTTAAAAAAATAACTGTAAAATGGGAACTAAGGTCTCTGATACATTTCTCCCCTTCATTGACACAGTTTCATATGGTGGAAATTATTTATGATGATACGTCCGATCAATTTTTCAGCCTCCACTCTGACATTCTTAAAATTACAGTGATATTCCCTTCAGGGAAAGAATAGTACATATTTTCCCCAAACTAGCAATCTTTTCAAGTTCTCTCGCTTTTTCTTCCAGTGCAGTGCTGTAGTTGTTGGCAGGTGAGGAGTTGCCAGGAGGTGAACTGACATTATAAATGTCAGAGGTCAACCCACGTGTAAGAAAGAAAGAGGCTGTCAGGAAAACAAGTTAACCTTTTTTATGGAAACCCTCTGATTGTATCTTTGTTGAGAACAACGTAGTTCTATGGCTGGTCTGTTCCTGCTTTGAGAACTGAAATAAAAAAGGAAACTTGAAAAGGTTGTACTTTGGCAAAATGCTTATTATTGGTTGCCTAAAGGGGAGGGTGGGGTTTTTTTTTCCATCTCAGTCCTATCTGAAAAGAAAGATTGTATCCTAATGATTTAGCAGTGTATATCTTCTAATTTTACTTGAGTCAGACAAACTGAAGCCCTAAGCTTACTTTATAAGCCAAGAGGTGTCACCAAATGATACTATTAATAAAACACATTTTCTGTGTCCATTCCCTGCAAGTACTCTGTAGTGTTACAGTTAGGTGTTCAAAAATAGAAGTTCAATAGCTTTGAACGTTTTATATCAAAGGAAGCCAGTGTTTTAAATACTCCGAAACAGAAGAATACAGCTGTAGATTCCAGTTTTTCATTCTTTTCTTTTTCCTTTTTTAAATTGAAGGCTGGAATTCCTTTACAAAAGATTAACTTCAGTTCCTGAACTAATTTCAGAATTATGGCCATGATAAGCCTTTTTCTTTTTAAAGTGGCTTACATCAAGTTATACTTTAAATAGAAATTGCCCATTCATGGCATTAGCAGATTTATTTATAAAAAGAGTTATGTTTCTAATTTTTTAATGGAGATTAGTCTGGAGAATTTGTCTTGGGAGAGTTCTCCTATTTTAAAAAAAAATTGGGGGAAAAAAAAAAATCCCTGCTAGAGTAGCAAGGGTTTGCAGATTTTAGTGTAAGAATGGACCATTTCATCAGTGAAAAATTACTTTGAAAATGGATCATTTTGCAAAACAGAGGTTTCAGTCTTCAGCCCTTCCCCAGTCCCTGAGAGACCATCTTGCTGTCTGTGTATTCCTGCTCCGCTCATCAGCGCGGTTTACGTGCATCGAAATATGTCCTTCTTTGAGAAACCTTCACGGCAAGCATTGCTTCCATTGAGAGTGTGAGAGTGCATTTGGACCAAGGGAGGTAGCAGGGAGGATTTATCTGAGTAGCAATTTCACAATAAGGTTTTGGAAGAGCAAAATACAAGCAGCCTTACAACTGATGGGATATTGAGCTTTTTTTAAATTATTATTATTTGGGAGTATTTTATGCACAATTATTTGAAAGTACTCAGTCGGGTTTCAGAATTTTTTTGTTTGTTTCTGCGTATGATTCAACTATCTGCTCAGTGCTGCAGAATAGCTTTGTAGAAGAGATGAGCTACTTATCCTACAAAACTTGAAGTTGGAGCAACAAGACTTAAATCACAGCAATAGAGGTCAGCTGTCCTCTTGGTCTCTGACTTCTTTACTCTTCCACGAAAACAGAATTCACATTTTTAATATTGCATTTGTATTCCACTTGAAGTAAAACTGTGGGTATTGTTTTTGCTTTATTCTCCATTGAGTAAATTTACATAAAGATTATGTAAATATTGTACAACCTCAGGGTAGGATTGCATATCCTAGTTCACACAGAGCTCAGTACCTATTCCACAATTTTCTTCATTGATTGCATTGAGTCGACTTGAGAAGGGGAGGATGTAATTCAACAAAGAGCAAGGATAGTAAGGTCTACACGAATGTGATCAAAGTCTTGCAGCTCTAAATAAGAGCAAAATGCAAATTAAATTTATATTATCTGTGGTTACACTGCCATCTAGGGATACAAGGAGTCAACGTCTGCTTTCTTTGTTTTGTTTTCTAAAGATTAGCATCTTCATGACACATTTGTCTAATTACGGAAACGACCGCCTGGGGTTGTACACCTTTGTGAATCTGGCCAACTTTGTTCATACCTGGACAAACCTGAAACTGCAAACTCTTCCTCCGGTTCAGCTGGCTCACAAGTATTTTGAACTATTCCCTGAGCAAAAGGACCCTCTCTGGCAGGTAGGCAGGCTTGCTGATGAAGAGATCAGAAAAAAATCATCTTGATGGTGTTTTTTGTGAAGTTCTTTGTTTCAGTTTCTCATAGAGGAAAGCAGTAGTATTTTTAGATTTACTAGTTGGTTCCATGAAACAGCTTACTGAAGCTTTAGTGTACGTGATTGTTTTCCCTGCTGCTTAAATCTCCATAGAAAGGTTGTGAAATGAATACGTACTGAGATGTCTAATTAAAATTATCTTTAATTCATGTTATTTGTGACTTTACTTGCTTTTAGAAATGTGGGAAGTGCTGGAAAGGCATGTTGTTTTATTTCTCTTCTCCTGTTGGAACTAACAGGAATTAAGCGTTTGACAGAGAGATGTATATGCGTAATTTAGGAATTGGCCGTTAAAGAAAGGAACTTTTCTCCAAGCATGTGAGGAGAGGGGGGCATCCAAAAAGAGAAGAGAGCATTAAGACCATGGCTACCTTCGTGCTAAAACTGACTAGCCAAGTAGAAATAGCTTAGATAGATTAGGAAGTTATTCACAAAAGGCTGAGAACTGCCCAAGCAAGAACTTTACCAGCACTTAATACATTGATGTTATCAACTCTGCTGCTTGATTATCCCGCTCTCATAAGTGAGCAAATTGAAAATATCAAGAATGTGAAGACCTGCTAAGGCTGAAGCCTGCACTGACCTTGCAGCTGGCAGGTCTTCAGCCCATCACCCAGAGCTTTACATTGCAAATACCTTTCTGAATCACTGAAATAGTTCTTTAATACATAATATGGTTTTCTGTCATAAGGGAAAATAATATTTTCTGGTAAGAATATTTGTACATTGGTGAAAAATTGGTAATTTATATAAACATAATTTGAGAACCTTATCAGGTGTGATGAAATTCTTAGTTGTTGTTCTCCATTTTAGAATCCCTGTGATGACAAACGGCACAGAGATATCTGGTCTAAAGAAAAAACCTGTGATCGGTTACCAAAATTCTTGGTTGTAGGACCCCAGAAAACTGGTGAGATTTTATTGTATTTCAACAAGATAGGCTATGTGTAAGTTCAAATAATTACACCGATTAATCACTGTTTACTCAGACTGTTGTGTAGAGATCTTGATCATCTAATAGCATTTTTTTATTTTTAGATATCATCCAAATATAGTTTAATAATGTAAGTTACAACAACAGACAGTACACATATTGAAAATGCAGGGTTCAGGTGTGTATCGGATTTTTTTGGCTGTATGTCAAAATGAGTAACACTTTGATAAAGAGATCAACAAGATAGACAAGATCTTGTCAAAGCGGAAGGAGGAAAGGACAACCATTTTTCAAATGGTGTAGATTCTTAACTGCAAGTTCTTGTCTGTCCTGCAGGTGTTTTGTTTATAGAAACTTGTTATTTCATGGCATTTATTTCAAGTTAAGAAGTTCCTAATGGACAGGTTGAATTGCAAGGTTGCAGTAGTTTATAAATTAACTTAATGGTTAATTTTCTTCTCTGTAATCAGAAAATTGCATATGTGCTTCCTTTCATCTTCACCAATCCCCAATAGCTACTGAGTGCAAGATTTTTAAATTATTTTTTGACAGTCTCGTAAAAAACAATAATTATTTTAAAACCACAGTTATTAAAAGTGTGAAAAACAGATTTCAGCATTGGCACTCCAGTTTCTGTGTTAACTATTTACAGTTCTTTAAATGTCTTCAATTTAAAAGCACAGAAAGCACAGATTCTTAGGTGACATAAATCATCATCCTCTCACTGAAATGAAATGGAATAAAGCCGGTTTAGTCCATCTGTGGGTATGACCCCCCAAAAAATGTGTGTGTGTGTACTTTTTTTTTTAATCTCGGACTTTTATCCTATTTGCAGGTACCACAGCCTTGTATTTGTTCCTGATCATGCATCCTTCCATCATTAGTAACTCCCCCAGCCCAAAAACCTTTGAGGAGGTACAGTTCTTTAATAGAAATAACTACCACAGGGGGATTGATTGGTAAGATGGGTTATTAGTATAAATATAAAAGTTTATATGTTGTGAACAATACAAAAATTACATTACTGTTGGTAATGGTAATTGTTTATATAGAGAGTGAGATAAAAAAATAACCTTCAGTGTCCTTCTAAAATGATAAATAAATGCAAAGGATTAACAGTCTTACTACAGAATATCATAAATGCACTAACTTTTGTGAGGCTTTCTTGTAAATATCCATATATTAATATATGCAAAACAGTAACAAAATATGTATTTCTCATTACACATGCCTTTGAATTTGGGACAGTAATGGTTTTTAGTTGGCTATATGGGGGCAAAAATTATGTTTCTGTTGGAAATCTTATTTCTTAAGAGAAAAAAAGGTAATATCACGGAGAGGAATTTTTTCCTTTAAATAGGATTTAGAAATAGCAATCAGGTAAAAGGGGGACAGGGAAAGCCTCTCAAAATGTTTTTCAAAGATCAGGTAGTTAGGAGAACATTAGTGTCTCTGTAAGGTTAGTAAGTGATGCTAAAAAAGTAGGTATCACTGCTGCCATGTTCACTATGGCTACGGGGGAATCACCGGACATAGCTACACCCAGAAGGTCATTCTTGATTTCTCTTACTTTCAGAAAGTGCTGCAGTATAAAGCACTACAAGATGAGAAGCGGTAACATGCTGTAGTGGCTGGGAAGCACCAGTAAAAGATTATTGATATTTTATCTGTTTCTTTTTGTCCCCCAGTTTAAGGGAAAATAGTTTCCTTGCCTTTGACTTCGTATTCATCCATAAAATTAACAGGGTGAACACTGTTCTATGGTCTTAGTGCAGATACATCAAATCCAATTTCTTTTTAAGTCAATTAGTTTTTACAGAGTTATAATTGTTGCAGTAGCTTCTTATTACAAAATGTGGTGAGTCAGCCAGTTATTACTGACAGAGAGATGCTGGCTGAATGACTGGAAATTAGAAAGCTGACTCCTTGCTGTGGAGACTTTTGAAGTCAGAGAAGATGACATGCAAGTGAGGTATAGCGGATCCACACTGATGGAGACAGCCTAAGTACAGTGAGCCAGTTCTTCCACAAAATCAATGTTTTCATGCTGCTAGAAGACCACTTTGCTGCTTCTCTCATTCCTCCTGCCACTTCCCTAACATGCAGATACAATTTGTCTGCTAGACATGTGCCAAATTACCTTCATCTTAACACAGCACTGGTGCGTAAAGCTCCCAGTGGTCAACCTGTACAGACCAGGTACATCCTCTTGACAGGTTCTCCCTCTACAGCACCCATTTGGCTATTTGTACCTCTGCGCTACATGCCCCACTCGCCCCTGCCACGTTCTCACAGTTAAGTCTTGGATACTCAGAACTACACGTTGATGTAGTTGCTTAACCCTTAGATTTGCGTTCTGTTTGCCAGACAAATCTCTCAGACCTTCAGTCTGATAGTGTATTTTAATGCTGGCATGTAATGAGCTTACCAAATGGTAATTAGAGACAAGGTCTCTCCTCATTAGTCCACTAATGGGCTAGGATTCTTTCAAGGCAAGAGTATTCACAAATAACAGTTCAATTTCTTTTATGGTTATGGAGATACAGCTTTTTCCCAAAGCTGACTCTGACTTAGTCTTTGTCCGAGTTTACATTTAGACCGAGGCTAACTACAGAAGCAGGAAAGGGTTTTTTTCAGTGCATCTTCCCCACATAAGCGAGCTATTTTCTCTTTTGAGTAAAAGCAATTCTGATATTGAATACCTTTTTCTTACAGTATTGCACTGTAATTGATGTCAGCAAAAGGCCAAATGTGGAAAACCCATTTTCTACTTTTGACTTTGATAGGAGTTTGTTCTGACTGGAAAGTGAGAATTCACTAATTTTAAGAAGATACATCAGTATCATAACATTTTCATCCAGTTACCAAAAAATAGCTGCAATGTTTAGTTATATGTAGTGAGACGAAGAAAGCTAGTACCAAGTCAAATATGATCAAAAATATAATGTAAACTTCTATTTGCTTTTATTTGGCAATTAGGCTATTATTTTAATTGATTATTCTAGAATAAAATATGCTTAACAGATTTGTTAACCTTTGTGTAACTTTTAAGTAATTCTGAGAATGATGTTGCTTTCCTAGGTACATGGATTTCTTCCCCACTCCTTCTAATGTCACCACTGACTTCCTCTTTGAGAAAAGTGCCAACTATTTCCATTCTGAGGACGCTCCTAAGCGAGCTGCTTCTCTCATCCCCAAGGCCAAGATCATCACCATCCTCATTGACCCATCTGATCGGGCGTATTCCTGGTATCAGGTATGCACTTTGAAGAACAAGGGCAGGCACAAATCAAGGTTTCCACCTTGAATCCTTTCAGTATATATGTTTATAAAGGGTTTGGATAATACAAGCTTTTATTCGTCAGTCAGTGTACCATATATGATCACCCATGGGCTGAGGTATCTGTCAATGTAAACCTGAAAATCTTTCAAGGGTTAAAATACCAGAAACCACCTTTTCAAAAGTCTGCCTGTAATATAAGCATGTAAAAATGCTTACTTACTCGATTAATTTATGTAATCAGCACATACAAAAATTAGTTTATAGGCACAGTTACGTAGTTCATGCTCAAAATACAAGATAGATTAAGAAATTTTTGTTCTTCTGGTCTGCAGATTTCAACAGGAATTTGGCAAAATAAAGATATTATTATTAAAAAAAAAAAAAGATAAAATTCCAAAGAGAACAAAGTTCTTAGAACTTCTATGATGTATTTTATGTTATTTTTTGATGAGAAGTAATCACAACCTGGAGACTGATCCCGTAGCTTACCCTGCTTTGGACAGGACGCTTGACTAGAAATCTACTGAGATCCCTTCTGACCTGAATTATCCGATGATCCTCATTAAATACCCATGTTCAAATTTGCCTTTCTGAGTATTTACCTTGTGTAAGATAAAAAAAGAAAATATGAAACTACTAGAAGCAGAGCTTCTTACTATTTGTGTTTAATATACCCAATTCATTGGTACACAGTTTACTGAAAATAAACATTTATACATTCTTGTTTGTTATTGCTATTATCAGTCTAGCTTCTGATTTCTTCTGATAAAAACAATATTTTTTGATACAAACAATGCTTATCCCCGCATTTTCAATTAATTAATACATATGACGAATTCTTAACTTTAAGTAACTTCTAATGTAAATAATCACTCATGGCAAGGTCAGTAAGGCCAGGTCGGTAATACCAACCAGTTTTGTCTTATTTTGCCAACTTTTGTGGTGTGTAAAGTTCCAGCAATGTAACTCCTTTTACAGCATCAGCGGTCACATGAAGATCCTGCAGCTCTAAAATTCAGCTTCTATCAGGTGATCACAGCTGGACCTCGAGCCCCGTCTGAGCTTAGAGCTCTCCAAAAGAGATGTCTAGCACCTGGATGGTATGCTACCCATATTGAAAGATGGCTAACTTACTTCCCTCCTTATCAGGTGAATAAGACTGTAACTTGACATCTTAATCTTATATGTATAATACCCTAAAAGATTACCTTTGTAAAAGTCTTGCCTACTGAATACTGATCCTCAGGGATATCCTAGATATACTAGAGCATGTTTTAAGACATTGATTGTGATTCTTCATAGCCATGTTCTAAGTAGTTGGTTGACATTGCTAGGGGTGTCATGTCTTAGCACCTTACAGCTGGGAGCTCCTTCTGCAAAACAAATCAGAACAATAATCTGGAAGCTCAAGAAACGTCACTGCTGCTCCTTGAACTCTCTTGTACCCTGAACTGCCTTTAACTTACAGCTGTTTTTCATTTGCTCATGCTTCATCGCTCTATGTCTGGCTCTTTGTCAGTAATGTTGAGGAGAAGAGAACCAGGCATGCAGTGCTTTGTGGTCTCTTTAATATCAGATGGTCCATCAGGGTTCCCAAAAGAAAAATGGAAGGAAAATAAGGGAAGCTGCTCAATAATATTTCTGTCTACTCTGAGTGGTAGCAAGTATCAGCTAGCATCAAGGGAAGTCAGCTGGGATATTGCCCTCCGTGCATGGGTTGAGAAGAGTTTTGGTGTCTGAATACTTTGGGGTGTAAAAAATACCTTTTCCGTCTGAAATGGGGATTACCACATGGAAATGGATGTGATCTAGTGGTTTTGGAAATGGATGTGATCTAGTGGTTTTGTAACTCCTTAATATTTAAATGCATGTGTCTTCACCCACTTCTTGGTCCTTTCATGCAGTAATCTCCCACTGTGTCAACCTCCTTAGGCTGTGATTGTAGTAGTAAAACAAACCTGTACCTATGCAAAAGTTCACACACTGTCCCACTGCTGTCCATACTGCTTGATTTTTAACACACTTCTGGCACAGTTTGGACCCACAGCAAAAAGCATCTTGCCAAGCAGTTCCAGAGCACAGTTAGAAAGATAACAAGAGCCATTACCATTGGGGAGTGTGGACACAATCAGTTTGGTTTTGCAGGTGAGACAGTTTAGCAACATGGATCCAGGTCATGCTGTGCCATTTGGCCTTGAGACCAGAAAGCTGTCTTTGATTTGTTTTAGTTAGCAATATAGATAAAGCCTTTGTGTACATCAGTGTGTTTGCCATCTCTGGCATCACCAGTTTTTTAGGTGAATTCATGTTTTGCCTAACGTGACTTTTCTGTAACTGTCAAAGCACTGGGTCTCTTCTGCACACTTTGTTTTTGGAAATTCCTCACACGTTGCTGCCCATAACAGTGCATCCACATATCAGGGCCTCTACTGGGACTCATTCATGCACTGAAACAATTCAGCATGTTGGTGTTCCTAATAGTCTACATTTGGTATCTATCACCGATCCTGAATCCTCAATGTATTCTTTGTGTTAAGACCAGTTTCTCTGTGTATCTTTGAGCCTCAGAGGGTGTGTGTTTATGGACCCATGGGTTTCAGGTAAGCAACCTGAAAATTTGATCTCCCTGCAAGCTTCTGTTGGCATGTAACATACAAATCATTAGCCTCCTTCTGTCCCTGTGTAAGATAAAGCCTCAAAAGATGCACATCCTAAGCCCTGAACATCATGTGATATGCAAGACCAGGCAGACAATATCACACGATCAGTATCTCTTTGGTAGATTTATTTCTGGAATGGATTTTTCTGACATTAGCAGTGTGTCTGGCACTATTCCTCACCCAACATTTAAAGATTACTTTAGTTGAGGGAAGTTGGCTGCAATCTGAACCTTCTGTTTATCCAGGACTCGCTTAGCTGAGACAAGTTGGCTGAGTCTGCACCTTCTGTTTTCCCAGAGTGTGCCAAGGAAGCTTTGATGCATCTAGTTGGTGTTATTCTCCATATTTACATATTTCACATATTCTCTTTTGGGCCAGCCCTGCAGACTTCATGCGAAACACAATACTGTAATATCATGATACTCATATGAAATTCTCTACATTATGTTTTCATTAGCTTTTCTGCAAAAGTAACCCATGAATATTGAACAATATGCATTGTCATACAGATTTTTGCCAGATTTTACATCTCACAGTGATAGCGAAGAACCAGCTCTGGTAGCCTTATGTTTTCTGTGTAAAAGTACTAGGGATTAACTTGCATTGCAAAAGCAACGATATACAGTAGACCATATCCAAACTAGTTAGCAAGTTCAAGGATACCGGTACCTGGCTTTCCAGAGACGTGTTGCACATTCTGTATCTATCTAAATCCCTGCCTTAAAGTCCTCGTAACATCTGTGTTTATTCATATTCTCAAAGAAGTTTTTTTCATACAATTATGTGTTGTTGTATGGGTTTAGAAGTAGGGCATTTCACCTAACATCTACCTGCTGGTTTCTGTCTTTCTGGTCATTTCCAGTGACAAGCTTTTCAACATTACTGTAACATGTATATGTATGTGTCTATGAGAATTATGGGTTATTTCTCTAGACATTAATACCTTTTTTTCTTGGCTGGACAAATCTCACCCAATTTCCTCCCAATATTTCTTATCTTTCTAGATCCTTCACTGCTATTTCTCTGTTGTCACAACAGCTTCCAATTTAAGATCATTTCAGATTTAATTAACATGCCATTTACCCTGCTCCCAGGTCATTAATGATGATGACAATTAAAACTGGACCAATTATCATTCTCTGGGGCAGTACTGTGTGTATAATGAATGAGTTTGATAGAGGTGGAATTTTCAGTTTGAAGCTTGAAATAATGAATTTTAAATTAAACTTCCATTTATTTTATTTGTTGTAGTTGCTAATTATTGATGGACAGCAGCTGAGAACTGACCCGTCTACTGTAATGGATGAAGTACAGAAATTTCTGGGAGTCTCTCCTCATTATAATTACTCTGAAGCCCTAACGTGAGTTAATTTAATCATCATTTTCACATGTTCCTACATTCCTAAAATACCAGTTAGTCTGTAAGTAAGATCACAGCAAAATGAAGCCTCTCATACTTTTCCTTCGAGCTGTCAGTAGGATATATTCTTCAATGTCTGCAAAGAACACAATTCAGGGTTAGATTTTTTGTGAATCATCCACAGAGCCACTCAGTGTGGAGCTTGACTGTTACAGAAGTAGACCTCTGACAAATGGACAAAGTAAGTGTTGCTTTGTGAGAATTGCATGTGAATTTTGGATGAATCAAAAGGAATTTTATTTCCATAAGTGGAACATGGAATGCTGACATGCATAAACAGAAAGGAAAGAGAATTAGTTTCTCTTTATTTTTCACGTTAGCTGCAAGACAGATTCAATGGTGTCAGTCAGGAATGTAACATCCACTCTGTACATCATAAATACACATGTACACAAATCCTTTGGATTCTGACGTTTAGATTTGGTTGCCCTTAAAATAAAGACTGATAACCTTAGGTTTACTCTTTTGAGTCTTCAGTCTGAACTTGGGAGATGCATCCTCCTTGCAGTATCTCACAGCCTTTACACTGCAAAATATTTGTTTCAGGTTCGATTCACATAAAGGTTTCTGGTGTCAGCTCCTGGAAGAAGGAAAAACTAAGTGTCTTGGAAAGAGCAAAGGTAGAAAATACCCTCCTATGGATTCTGAGGTAAACCATTATGCTAATTGGCATTATACAGGGATTCAGTTGCCCACATATGGGACACCACACAGGTAAAATCATAAGAAAGGAGAGAAGACAAAATTAAGTAGACGTTAATTATTTTTTTTAATGAAACATTTAAGATAGCTGTGGAGAGCGTAGACTTTTTCAGTTCTTTATTTCAAAAGTGAAGAATTTAAGTCATTAGAGAAACAACTTTTAAAACTTGGCATCCCTTAGGAAAATAAACATGACACCCCTGAAATTCCCTGAAATTCGCTTGGAAACCTGTCCCTTTTACCTAAGTGACTTAAGCAGCAGAGGCTCCACAGTGCATGTTTTTTTTTCTCAGTCATGATCAGATATGTGTATTTGTGTCTGGTCCCTTGTCTTTGAGAGTAGTTAGACCATGACAAGTAATGCAGGCTCTCATATAAACCAGTTTTAAGAGAGGTTAGGTTCTGTTTCCATTAATTTTATAAATACTTTCCCCAGACAAATGCTCAAATGAAGAAATTTCCATTAGAGCAAATGCTGCAGCCTGTACCCAAGGGCAGTTTAGTCTCCTATTCTAGCTGTAACTTTTATGTTTATTCGGTCCTGTATTCCCATTTCATTTAGCCTGACTAAAACGCAAATAAAAACTTAGAGTTTGAACAGCGGTATGTATTAATATGGCGAGTAAGCCGGGATTTTTTTCTCACGGTACTTACATGATAAGTGACTTTACATCAATAGAATCATACTGACACAAAATCATTCAGTGAGAAGGCTTTTGGCCAGAGATAAGACAAGACTATGTTTGTTTGTTGTTGTATTTTTCAACTCCAAATACTTCTGAAAATGGGGTTACTAATTGATACATGCCTACATACAAAGGTATTTTAGAAGCTTTGGTTTCAATCACACTTCAGTAAATTCAAAGTAACTACATCAGCTTCAGTGCGATTCTTAATTTACATGACTACCTGAGAGTAGAATCAGATCCTTTGCTTTGACTTCAGTCTTCATTTTGGACAACCTTTGTTTCCCTTGAAATTATCTTCTACAGTTCAGCTCCTAACTGAAGAGCTTAAACTTGCATGCAGTAGATAGCATAAAACAATATAAATTGCGTAAGAGAAAGTAAAGTTTTGGCACAGGTAGAACAAACTTTGAAACCTACAATTCACAGCAACTGCAGTACAGCATTTTATTAAATAAAAATATGTCCTTTTGTATCCATCAGTGCAGGGCTTTTCTGTCAAGCTACTACAGAGATCACAATGTGGAACTGTCCAAACTCCTACACAAATTGGGACAACCCCTGCCATCGTGGCTGAGACAGGAGCTACAGAAAGTAAGATAGCATTGAAAAAAGGCTTTTTGAAATCTCTCTTCCACGCTTCAGTCGTCATACCTAAAGACTCCAGTAGCTACCAGAAGGTCTTGTAAGATATACCTCTTCAAAAAAGGGTAAAAGGTAGAAATTATTTCCATATGCTGGCATGTGGATTGTGAAAATACATGTGTTTCTTAGAGCTCTGGTGGGCCAGATCTTTCTCATAAACATTTCTGGGCCTGTGGACTTGTGGACTACTGTGCACATATGTGGAAGTTATTTGCAACTGGTATAAGCTTCAGAGATACATGATCTGTCCAATTTCACGGTAAATATTTACATTTTTATATATCAGTTTAAAAGTATCGTGTCTCATGTAGGTTTTGTAGCCCACTGTTAGACCGCTGACAGTTTTTCTTACTATTTGATTATTGTCTTGCGTAAAATAAGAAAACTCAATGTAGCACAAAATGCCAAGTGTACTTCTGCCTTTGGAATCAGCTTGCTAAAACCCAAAGTATATATTAACAAGGGTGAGAAGTACAGTTATCATATATGATTTAGCTGTGCACAGCATCAAAATACACGGAGCAAAATCTGGAAGCCACAGGCAAAACTAGTGTATTAAAAAACAAACACACACACACAAAACATTACCTATGATTACAGCCTGTAACAAGAAACCCTTACAATGTGGTAATGGCCTTTGTCCGTAATTACTATGTCTGATTTTGTACTGACTGAAACGGCAAAATACAGAATATAGCTAGTATCTGAACAGAAATTTAATTGGACATGTGAAGCACAAAAGTTGCAGTATAATCCTTATCAGCAGTATTATACTTCAACAATTGTGAACCAAACTGAAGCAGTGCAATGAACAGGCTTTCACTCCTGGCTTCTATGAGCAGCCAGATTGGATACTGTTTACATTGCTGTGAATCAGGAGTAACTCCACTGAAATGGATGAAAAAGTCGTAAAGAGCAGAAACAGATCCATACTTAGATTGCCTTAATTTGCACCACTATTTTTTCCTTAATTTATTTGCCTTCAATCTATCCTTTGTGTATTCCAAGATCCCTCAACCTGATCAAAATTGTAGCATCTTTCAGTAACCTTCAGTTTACGTCAGCTGCAAAAATCTACCAGATTTCCAGATGAAAATACTGGTTCTGGTTCCAGATATTTTAAACATGTTTGGTATTAAAGGAATAAGCTTTAGGGGAAAACACAGTGTGTAATCATGGTAGAAAATTACGTTCTAATCATGGAAAAGACAAATATCCAGGCTTACATTTATGTGATACATTTCAATGATACGTCTCACAGTGCATCAGTTTAGATGTGAGATGAAGTCTAATTAATGGTATTTAAAAGTTGAGAAGGAAGATCAATGAAAACTTCAGCTGAGTATGGTCTTAATGCTTCTCCACTGAACTTTGGCTCTGAGTGTTTCTAAAGGCATGAAGAAGTAATGAAAACAAAAGAGAACTACAGAACTAAATGCAATGCTTTTTACAGTAGCTCTGTAATGTTATCATAATTTGTTTTAAGGTGAATAGTTAAAAACATGCATCAAATGGTGGAAAAACTTTATACGTCTCAGTGCTGTTTTACAACATTTATGTAATCATATAATTTAACTTTCAAGGTAATGGAATGGAACCCAGTCTGTTATTCCCTAAATAGAAAACAGATGTTGAGATCCTTACTGTACCTCTAACCAGTAATCTTTATTATTTATTGATTTTGTCTATGTAATACCTGGTTTTGATAGGCCTGTAAAGAAAAAATCTAGACAAATTTGCTGTATATAACAATACTCTTTACGCAGCACATTTTTGCTAAGGGAATATGCATGATTAATGATGAGGACCTACTAGAGTAGACATTTTTTAAGATGAACATCTTTATTATTTATTAGACAGAATGAGAATTTTGATTTCACTTTAAATATTTACTGTCATATGGATTTGTCCCAAAAGCTGTCTTGTCTTAAAATACTTCTTGTTTGATAAAAAAACCACTCTGGATTCTGAACATCTGTAAAAGCAAATACTCTGCATGCAATGGACAGCTCATGAGTCCTGCAAGCATCTATATGGATTTGTTACAACTAAATTGAATAACTGGAGAAAATACCTGGGGTTTTCATCCTGGCATGATTGATTTTACCCTTGATATAATCTGATGTAACATCACTCAAACATTTTTTAAAAATTCGCAGGGATTGCATGAAGCTCCTGTTTTGTGCACTGCTGCCTCAGTTACTCCATGTTCTTCAGAGCAGTAATTATAAAATAGAAGAAAATAGGAAAAACTTTTGGCGCTATCAAGTGCCTGAAGTTTTCGTGGTGAGAGGACCCTCTGAACACAAATCGAGTGCCTCCCATGTGCAGGAGGAATGGGCTTCAGCCACATTCATAGTTCATTCTTTGTTTTCAAGAACTCTCTTTCTGTCTTCTTTCTCTGGGAAATCAAGGCCCCTGCAGAACGAGAACAAGTGGGCAGTCAAGGACAGAGTGGTGATGGGGACATGCGCATTGGTCACATTGTCCCTCCAGAAATTTTATGACAAGGTGACATGTCTCAGATCTGTGGACTACTTCTGTGAAGTCCTCCCTGAGGTACAGCAAGGAGCCCCCTACAATTGTTGGTGATCTGGGAAAACAGCCCAACTGCAGTCACCATGTAGCACTGGGAGGATAAGCCCCCCACGTGCACGGCCTCGGCCTTGGGTGGACTAGGCTTGGTTTGGCAGCTAAACACAAAGCTCATCCTCTAGGAAGGAGTGCTGTGGTGACTCTCAAGTCCTGATGAGGAACAGCAGGGTGGACCTCTTGTATCGTCCCAGTGCCCTTCCTAAGGGACGGAACTGGGAACAAAATGAATGAGTTCCTAGGGGAATCTTCAGCAGACTCCTGTGGTAACTTTACCTGAGTCGATACTGTGAACAAAGTAGCTTGACCTGGAACTGTGCATCTGAAAGGGCATGATCTTGAATCTGCACAAATCCAAGCTCCTGTTGAGATGCAGCTGTTAAGCACTAGCAGCTTTAGCAAAGGTGCTCCGGGATTAGCTTCTTGTACGCTGGGCGGGCTAGTCTCAGACACAAAAGCAATAGAGAAGTAAAGGCAAACTGCTGGTGCTCTTTGCAGTTCTGAATTTCTGATGTTCACTTATTACTTGTTTATACAAGGATGGTATGAAGCCACTTTTTTTTCTCCACTTTTTTCTATTCTATTTAAATATATTCTTACATTTAACAGGAGACTTTAAAAACAGAATGACTTTTAATGTGCAGTCAACTTGGTGAAGAATGAAGAGTCTGAGCAAAGCATGCAGACAACAGGTAGATGTGTTATTCCCCAAATCATAGGATGCACATGAGTACAGCTGAGTAAGCAAGTCACACAACATGAATTATCTGACAAAGTTTAACCTCTTCTATTCACAGCTTACCTACAGTCAGTGTTTGATTTCCAGAAATAGACTATCAGTATTAACATTCTTAAAAAATACTGATTCATTACAACAAATTTATATTTGCTCGTCAAAGTCAGGTGTTTTATTGTGGTTGGTAACACAGCCATGGTTTCTGTTCCCCTGGTAGATAGCTGCACAAGCAATTCCTTTAACAAATGTTTGAGCTTCACCTTTATTTTCATAAATATGATTCTGAAATTTGCTTTCTGCAGACATCCGTGCTATTAAAAATCAATGTGTGATTATGAGCAGAAAGTGACCATTAGGGGGGGTGTAAACACAGACCGTGATAGGAAATCACTTAATTATTTGAGCAAGCATTCCTGAAAGTACTGTGATATTTTCCCAGTTCTACTTGTGCAGAAAGGATTAGTTTCAATGAATTGCAGACTATCTTGTACAGAATATCCTTTTTCATTGCTTAAAAATGTGAAACTTCCTCAGGAAGAAATTAAATAGATATTTCAATGTTTATAGATGTAATACTCTTGTCATTCACATTGAATGAAAATTGCTGGAAACATTTTTCTCAAAGTTTTTTAAAATAAAAAATAGATATTATTCTGATAGTGGCATGGTATCTGAAGTGCAACAATAAACTCTGATAAGAAAATGTAGTGCTGTGTGGAAGTGATTTTTATGTTCACAAAAGTTGTCCTTTTCCAGGTTTGTTAGCAGCTATTGCAGCTTGACACTGAGCTACAACACAATCCAGGAGCACGGGAGCAGCATGAAATGTTTTCAGAAATGAAAAATATTGCTTACTCTCTCTGTGAGTGAATATTACTGCTTTATGCAGCTGCTCGTTTTACTGCTTTTGCTTCCTGCTTACTTTTTATTTCTTCTGCCAGAAATTGCTAATGTGCTATAGAAACATTTCCAGAGCTTGCTATTTTTAAGATAACAAGCAGACTTTATTCAAATTATTTGCCTTGGGGATTCAATAGTTGTGCCAATGCATCAGCCTACACAGACATGAGAAAACCTTTCTTAGGAGAAACCTCTAAAGATGATATGAATGTCCAAAGGAAATTTCACTGTTACTAACAAATTCAGAACAGAATGGAAAAGTGTACTGTCTAGCTGGGCAAAAGCTGCTTAATATCTTCGTAGAGATGTAGAAAATAGGAAATCTGTGTTAACAAAATATTCCGTTCATTACAGAGAAATTATGCAACCTATAATTTGGAGAGGTCTAAGCTTCTTTTATAATACCCATCTCTATAATCTCTAAGAATAACAAATGTGGAACAGTAAAGTAATAATAGAAAAGCACTAAGCAAAGGGAAAAGATCCTTGCTACAAGTAACACCTGTCTGACTGCTGTGTCCAATTTATCTGCTTTCATTTAATGTTTCTTTTCAGTTCTTCCAATCCCAAAATTCTTAGAGCTCAAAGGCAAAAGACACTTTTTTGCCTCTGTGGACCACATGGATGAAGAAAACACAACATTCAGCATCAAAGGACAAATCACAGGAACAGGAAAGTAATTAATAGCTGAAACCAAGGGCTAGGGAAACCTGAATGGAGGAGGAATTTA